TACATGAGTTGCCAAACTCTGCATAGGAGAGTATTTAGGAAAATGATTTTTCTCTGCATATAAAGGAGCAAGAGGCAGCTGTCTTCTTCTGTTCTTAAAACAGTCTCCTCCTTGCCTACCTCCATACCTTTGGTATGTAAATAAAATCTCTCCATCAGCTATAGATCCACTAGTCTCTGTGGACTCTCAGCTGTTACTATTGACACTAATTTTTTTTTTTTTTTACCATTTTTACTAGTTCTCAGACTCCTCCTTGAAATGTGAATTCCTACGTTAGTCCTTCCAGTCTTCCTACATGGGGAAGTCTTCCTAACTCTATGGGAACTTAACCCAAGAACTGAGATTTAGTTATTTCGCTTTCTCCAGGAAATGAGAAGATTTACTATCCTCTCAAATCAGTGCAATTCACCAGACACATGAGAATATATCTAATTCTCATGGTATGTGAAGATGTTTCTGTGGGTCTTGGCCTTTTTATAGGAAAATAGAGTAATCCAGGTAAATTTTATTCCCCCATAGACAAATCCTAAAAATAAAAGGTATCACAAAGAAAACTTTTACTGCATTCAATCATCTTATTTTTAGTGGTATTACTGACACTGCCAATTATAAACTACATGTAAATTATATGATTAAAAGAAGTAAGTAATCATGGTAATACCAATGGGTGGTAAGACTTTTAGTGTAAGAAAACAGGGATACAAATATAAAACCAAAGATGATTAGTAACAACATGGCCATCCTAAGTTTGATTTGGAAGAAGGTATGAACTCATGATCTATTTTCTCTTTAAAAAATATTTTTTTCTAGTTCTCTCCACTTAAAGCACCTTGCAACTCTGACAATCCAGTAGGAATGAGTAAGAATAGAAGCACTTTTGTGCCCTTCCAATCACTACCTGACCCCATTAGTAAATCAATATTCAGATTTCTAACAGATGGTAGTTCTGCCAGGTTTTAAGCTTGTTATCAATGGACCAATACAGCACAAACTCTTGTGTGCCTACCTTCTTTAATTCAACCTGGTGTTGGAGAGTTGCTGTTATATGTGGTTTTAGTTCCTGCATTCTTGTTAGATGTAGTGCTTGACGGTATGAATATACCACACTTTATCCCTCTTAGTGTCGATAGATATTGTTTCCAATTTGGGACATAACACAGAAATCCTATGAAAAAGTTTTTACACATCTTCTGTTAAACATATGTGTTTTTACACATATACATACATATTTTGTAGTACATGTGTTACACATACGTAGGAGTGAAACTGCTGCTCCTAGGGCATGAATAGTTTCAGATTTAGTATAAATTGCCAACCAGTTATTGAAAACAGCCAAGCATTTATCTTCCCTTTCCTATAAAAATGGAATTTTAAGTTAATAACATAGTTGATAAGGGAAAATTCCTATTTACAGGAAAATTTCCTTCTATGATATAAATTAGGAAATGACCATTTGCAATCCCTAAAAAAGTAATGTGCCCAAGCAAAGATTGTCATCAGCAAATGCTAAAACCACTGGGTAAAGGGGAAATTGAAAACTTTGAAATGTTTGGATGCAAGTGAGATCATCTAAATCATCTGATCTATGTTAGTTTACCAAAAGGGAGACAGCACAGATATTATGTATGGCTCATGTGATGCAAAGAAGAGACACCTCATGAAATATTCTTAACCAAAGTAAGATTCAGCCTAGATCTAATCAAACCTCTAGATCTAACTATCGTTTGTAGGAAGTGTAGGAGAAAAGGAACTACTTCATAATACCACAAAGAAGGAATCCACTAAATCTAGAATGTGATAAATCCTAAGGGAAACTGATCTGGTTACCTCAAAAAATTAATGATATTGTTATAAAAAAATAAAAAAGGATGGCTATTCTTAACATTGAGGCTTATTAACAAAGCACAATGTATGAATTTATGTGGATCATAAGTCAACTAATTCAAAAGAGGTATTTTTGAAACAATCAGGGAAATTTGAATACAGGCTGGATATTAGATGACATTGTGGAATAGTTGCTAATTTTTTTAGGTGTGAAAAGTGGTATTATGGAAAGAAGAAAATAATGCACCTTAAAGTATTTACCAAAAAAATTATATGATATGTAGGTATTCTTTAAAGTTATTTGCTTATAAAACAATATTGGCAAAATATCATTTGTTGCTGAAGCAGGATTCACTACTATTAGTATTCACTGCTATTCTATGTATGTTGAAATTTTCCATAATAAATATTACTTTAAAATTTTTTAAATAAGCTTTCCCAAGTGATGTATGGGAAATATATGGGAAAACTTCAGTGGGAAACTATGCATTTTATAGACCCTAGATGATACCCTTGGATTAATCTGACTTTTATTTAGAGTATTTTACAACTCTGTTAACTGTAGATAACTGATAGCATAGACAAATAATGCCTGGCTAAGAGCATGCAAATTCTGTCTTACTTGGTAGAGTTTCAATTGGTCTCCCTCCTTCACTGTGAAAGTTAGTTTTGCCTCTATTTGCATATTCATTTCAATTTTATTTATTCCATATATGTGTGCGCTGTTTTGATTTCTCTTTTGAGCCTATGTTATAACATCTTCCTGCTTCCTTGCTTACAAGTTAAGTGAAGTCTTTAACACATGTTCATTTTATTATCTACATGAGAGTCATAATTTTATTCCTTTTCAAAAGTTCTCTCTTAAGCATGATAAATAATATTTATGTCTTTCTCATGAAGCTGAAAGCAAAATAAACTAATTGGTATATATACAAATTATTTTGTGTTGATGAGTAACTCCTTGTTAAACAATTTCAGAGTAAACTGTAAGCTAGTTGTACAAATATTAACTAACTTTTCCTTCCATGTCTGTTTCTCATACTATTAGCTTCACAAACTCCCTTGGAATCTTTGCGCCAGAGGCCAGGGTGCATTTTCAGTAACCCTCAGAGCTCACCAGGGTAAAATATGAGTGAAGCAAATCTGAAAATACTTGAAAACAAAAACTGAGTAACATCTCCTGAAAACTTGTGTCAAGAATTCTAAAACTGCTACATAGATACCAGATACACTGTTGAAAGACACAAACATGGTGTGTATTATTTAACAAAAAGTAATCAAGTTTTATTGTGGAAGTCTCACCTTATACGTCTATTCCACCACTTCTCCAACTTTTTTTGTTTCTGTATCCTTAACAATCCACTCTTTTCTTCAACTGAACTAACTACAGATATTGAATTTTGTTACAGATCATTGCTACTACTGCCACTTTCTGAATATTTAGGAGCCTTACAGGCATCTGGGCTCCCTCAATCAATCAATCAGTAAATATTCTTTTGCATTCATTTTTTAAGAGTCTTAAAAATGCAGAAATAACAAATTTGGACTCCAACCCACCCACAGTTCATTTCCAAAAAAAGATACTAGAGCTAGCCCATGATCTCTCACGACATTTCTGCCTAATTCAAACAAGCAGATGCTAAGGACTAAGAACAGGTAGAAAAATGTGTTGAAAAAAATTTGAAAGAAGAAAACATACTTTGCTCTCTCTCGTCAATTTAAGCACTTTAAACTACAAAGGAGACTGTTTCCTTTATAGTTTTATTATTTAGAGCTTTGGGTAAGGCTTTGCATGATGTACCCCCTTTGACTATACCTCTTCCTCTTCCTCTCTCTTCTTCCTGATTTCTGCCTCTCTCCTTTATCTAGAAAACTTTTCCAATGCAGCCACTAATGCCAAGCTGCTGTTTCCCCAGTAGCACTTATCACCACCTCTCATACCATATTTTATTGTGTATTTATCTTGTTTATTGTCTTTCTCCCTCCACAGAATGAAAATTCCCCAAAGACAAGGGTTTTGTCTGTTTTGTTTACAGGTATACATTCCTTACCCAGAACAAAGTCTAGAAACAGGAGCAACTCAATAAATACAGTTGACCCTTGAATAACTAGGGAGGGTAGTTAGGGGCTCCCACTCCCTGCACAGCTGAAAATGCATGTAACTTTCGATTCCCCAAAAACTTATCTACTAATAGCCTACTGTTGACTGGAAGCTTTATTGATGACATAAACAGTCAGTTAACACGTTATTTTATATGTTACAATTATATATTGTATTCTTGCAATAAGGTAAGCTAGAGGAAAGAAAACATTTTTTTCAAATGTCACATGAAATGTTTTTTCAAATCTCCAAAAAAAATTTCCCATATGTTATTGAAAAATTGTAAGTGGACCTGTGTAGTGCAAACCAGTGTTGTTGAAGGGTCAGCTGTATCCATGAAACAGCAGTCTCACCACCCTGACTGAGCTTCTTAGAAAAGCTTTGTTTTAATTTTTTTGGACAATTCTAGCATTTACCTAGCGCATGGTATACTTCAGTGAGAATTAGTTTCATGCATTTCCTTTGGGGACACGGTCAATTCTAGGATAGCTGCAACAGAGATATTTTAGAGAAAGCCGATTTAACAACATTTGTGGTTTCCACATCACTCCCCTGCTTGTCTCCATCACAGGTGTGTGTGTGTGTGTGTGTGTGTGTGTGTGTGTGTGTGTGTGTGTGTGTGTGTGTATAATTAGATGAGATCATCTAAGTACTTGGCTGTCCATTGAGATACCAGACCTGGTGGTGGATGGGGTGTAACAGAGGAAGTACATGATGTTCAGAATAACTTTTTTGGCACTTGCTATTTATTTGTATATGTCACCACCAGGGTACAGTGCCAAAAACTGAGAAGATGTGGCCTGGATAAGGAAGAAGGGGAGGGGGTAGTGAGTCAGTTAAGGTAGTATTATGGAATGTGTATTTAGAAACCTCACCTGTAATACAGTTTGAGGTGGGAGTCAGTTTGGAGCCTTAATGGCAGCATCAAGGAAGGCGACTCAGGAGTGAGTCAGCCTCTGACGGAGGGAATGGTTGTTCTAAGGCTCCTCCCAGCTCAAAGAGGAAGGGAGGAAGAAAAGAGAGAGAGGGGAGGATGGAAGGATGGAAGGAAGGGAGGAAGAGAGGAAGGGAGGGAGGAAGAAAAGAGAGAGACAAAGAGACAGGTAGGAGGGAAGAAAGAAAAGGAGGGCGGATGGAAGAGAGAGAGAAAAAGAGGAAAAAGTTCTCTGGCCGATTATTTTTAAAACATCCCAACTAATCGCGGTCAGTATAGGCAAACAAGACACCTTCCCCTGGGCGGTGAACACCTGGACTTCCCTCGGTGGGGACAGGCGCGGGTGACCACCGAGTGCTTGCTTTCAGGAGGGGGAGCGCCGTGGGGACGCCGCGCGGATTCCTTTCCAAGAAGGCGGCCCCGGCACACCCACTGGACGGCCGCGGGGTCCGGGGGTGGGTGTGCGCTGGCAGCCGCCGCCTGAGGAGGGGCGGAGGGTGGCGCGGAGCCCGCGCTTTTCCGAGCCGCCAGTGATCGGCGGCCGCAGGCGCAGCGGCGGGCATGGCGGAGACGCGGCCGGGCCAGGCGGCCGGGGTGCAGCTCAGCTCGCTGCCCGACCACTCGCCGCTGCTGCAGCCGAGCCTGGCAGAGCTGCGGCGAAGGGCCCGGGCGGCGGGCACCCCTCCCGCGCCGCTGCAGCTCACCGACTCCTTCCTGCTGCGGTTCCTGCGCGCCCGGGACTTCGACCTGGACCTGGCCTGGCGGGTAAGGAGGCCTCCCGCCGCGCCACCCCGCGGCTTCGCCCAGGCGACGCGAAAGCCCGAGCTGTGGTGCGCGCGGCCGTGGGACGCGCCGCCGCGCACCTGGCGGCGGGCGTGCCTGCAGGTGTTCGTAGAAATCGCGCCCCGGTGCTTCCAAGTTCTCTCGGCCGTGGAAAAGGGCAACCTGGAAAAAGCTGGTACACTCTGGGGTGATGGCCCGTTTGACCCCAAACCCTGGAACTCTGCCTTAGACGAGTCTCCCGACCTGCACAATTTGGGGGAAATGCTTTTGCAGAAGGCCGGTGGTATAAAAATCCGAAGAGCTGAAATGCAGGAAGCTTTGATTTATCACATTTTAGTGGATAACTCCACGTGTGGAGGGGAAAATGAAATCGCCCTTAAAACTGAAGGTCTAAAGCCAAATTCTAGCAAAATAGTGTTGTGAATAGTTAATACTGAAGTGTCAGGATTTTGAGCCGAAGGGCAGATGATGAGGCCGTTCTTTTGTGAATGACCAGGTAAGTTAGCAGCTGGTAGACAGGAGGGGTGATAGGAAGACGGGAATCATAAAAGAGGGATGTAACTATGAATTCTGTCACCCTGGGCTCAATATCCCCATCCATAAAAAAACGGGGAGAATGCGTACCCCACTGACCGGTTTCCATAACAGCTGAAAGGAACAAGATGTGCCCAGGACAGAGCCTAGCCTACGGCAAGCCCTCAGCAGTTGGACCTGATCTAGTCCTTTCTCCAGGTGGCTTGCCTAGTGTTATGCTGCAGAATCCCAACTGCTCAGGATAAGGGTTTTTTGTTGTTGTTGATAACTAAATTTTAATTGAAAAAGAATGTGGGTGGTAAAAATACTCATAATAGTAAAAGGGGCAAAGTAAATTTCTAAAAATTAACTTTCTAAAGGAAAAAATGTCCCCACCCCAAACCTTGTTTGCCAGTCATCTGTCTAGAGGCATTTACTGTTAACTGTTGTTTGTTTATCTTTTCAGACATTGTGTTCACACAAACACATGGATGTGTTTTACATCTTGTCTTTTTTACCTGGTTTATCACAGAGATCAAACTATTACAGAATGTGTACATACGTCTTATTATTTGGGGGCTATGTTCTATTCCATTTATTGTACTAAAGGTCAGCAGTCCCCTGTTACTGGACACAGGAGTGTCATCAGGTCAGTGGCAATGCTGCCATACATGCTGTTCATTCCTTCATTCAATGACAAGTTTCTGAATTACAATTTTCCTGCAGTAGGGGAAAGGTGGTAAACAAGACAAATGGATTTTTTCCCATCACCAGTTGGATATTCTAGTACATATTTGTTCATATGTCTGTGTGAAAGTGGTAATATATCTTTATGGAATAAGTTGATCCTGCAAAGCCGCTGGATGGAGATGCACGTTTTCAGTGTTAAGGAATATAACAACTGTTCTCCACAGTGTTTGCACTAATTTTATCACTTCTGTATTATATAATGATGCCTTTTTTTCATATTATCACTTATACTGTGTTATTATGACCTGTGTGCCAGCCTGCTAAGTGAGGAATTGGTTCTCATTATTATCATAGTGTTCATTTGTTAATTACAATGAAGTTAACCATCTTCATATATTTAAAATTTTAAAAATTCTTCTCCAGTTGTGTTTCTGCCACTTGTTCATTTTCTTCCATTTTGTTTACATAAAATATACATATAATATTAACTTTTATTTCTAAAATCTATGTATTAAATAAAATAGGCCTCTATCCTACTTTGTTTTTCTTTTGACATTTGTACTGTTTTCTTTCTATGCAGAATTTTATAAATTCTGTGAAATCAATGTATTGATTAGATTGTTCTCTGAGTGCATCTGGGTTTTATAAGCCTTTCTTCTTGCTAAAATTCCTCTAGTAATTCATGACATCTGTTTTTAATGTTGGAGTTGTTGATCTACTGGGATTTATTTTGCTATTAGAAATGAAATAGCAATCTGACTTTTAATTATTTTCATTCTGTCAGATGGCTCTCCAGGTGTCCCAACATCATGAGTAATTAATATTTACTTGGAAGGTACTGAATATGAAGACACAATCTCAGGTCCTATGAAAAGTACAGTTTAAATGAGGCTTTAAACATATATGTATGTGTGTGTGTGTGTGCACACACACACACATACATATAACTGCATATATGCATATAGATGTGTAACTAACAATAAAAAGTCTGATTTACTGATTCCATGTATCTGCCTTTTCTTTTTCTTTCTTATTTTTTTATTAAGGTATCATGATATACAATCTTATGATGGTTTCACATGAGCTCATGTAGCTGGTTTTTAAAAGTACTGTCTAAACAAAAAAGAAAAAAGTTTGCCTCCAGCCTCTGTTACATATATACATGTATGTTACAGACATATATATATATATTTTTTTCCCAGTATGCTTTATTTTCCTGAATTGTTTTCATTGCAACACATCGTTGAGGAACTGGTTAGCAGAACTCTCCAAATCCACTGGATAGGGATCAAGTTTCTGCCTATGAACTCTGTCTTTCTTTTCTGCCAGCTGGAAAGGAAAGGGAAAGGGTTAGAGTGTGAAACTATTTTTTCATTTTCCTTCACAAAGGCGGTTAATTCAACTCAAACTCCCTTGTTAATAGTATAAAAGCCCGAAAGTTTCAGTGTATGAAGAGGGCTTGATGAACCCCTCAGTTATAATTAGAAATTTTTCAATCTAGAGTTTGTATTTGAACTTACAACAAATTTAATGAGGTTTTTATAATCCTAATAGCTTATTGAGTTCCAGGTACTTTGGTAATTAATGTTTGTGTGGCTTATCTCCTTATTTTCATTTTGGAAAAAAGTAGTTGTGGAGTAACAAGTCCAAATTCACAGTTGCTAAGTGGTGGAGCAGGGATTTGAACTTGGGTTGAACTCTGGGTGAGCCTGTGCTCTCAAGTATACCACATTTGCCCCCTCTGTTTAAAACAATGAACATAAAACGACCAACTGTGAACTTCTGTCTATTCCACATATTCTTGTGAATTTCTGTGTTTCACAAGTGAATAATTCACTTCCTTAGGTTTTTGCTGCATGTGTTGTTTTTCATTCTTTGATGTTTTTATGGTTTTGCAGCTTTCAAAATTCCACTGACTGTCCCTGCTAGTTTTCCTCTAAATGTAGCTTCTTTTGTAAAACATATCAGGTGTTGGTTTCAGTCTTCACTCTGCTCCTGTTATCAAGTTATCGCCCTTAAAAAATACGTAAATTCCCTAAGCTTTAGTTTACTTATCCATAAGATGGGGTAACAATAATTACCTCACAGATGGTTGTGAAGAGGGATTGAAATGATGACATTAAACCCTATAAAACTGGCACAAATATGATTGCTATTTTGTTTGAAAGTACATGAAAAATAAGAAACCTATTCTGTTACAAAGCCTAATTAAAATAAACCATAACTTTTTACATTTATTTATTCTTAATTGTGGTACAAAATGGGTACCTTCCCACTATGAATATTCACTTGCAGCCAGTTTTTTTGTTGTGGACATTCAGTGGTTTGAGAATTGTGCAGCAGCAGTTTACATCATTCACATGATTTTTGTCAACAGGATCTTTGAATTTATTCATAAGTGGAAAAGTAATACTCAAAGATCCAGGTTTAGAAATTTTAATTTGCAAAATTTAAGTGACAAAGGCATGAGAGTGATCTGCGTGTCTTTACAAAAAAAAATTTTTTTCCAGTGTGTGGATCCTGCTGGTTTACTCAGGCACTAATTTATTTTCATTCAGCACATGAACCGACCGCTTGGTTGTCTAGCACTCAGCACAAATGCATAAGCTGAAGACCTTGCCTCTCTTACCTAGAAAATGTTTTCTAATGAAGCTACAGCTTTTTTTCATTTCCTGGGAAAATAAAATCATTATTTCTATATAGAAGTTAATATACAGCTTCTAGTGTTTTGCTTCAATTAGAATTAAAATAAGTTTTTATGTCTGAGGGAGCTATCAAAAAAGTAATGAGCATGGTGAAATGCTATTAGCACTTATTCTGATGGCCCCTAAGACAGCAAGAGGAAGAGATATTCATCTCATGGAAGAGAATGAATATGTCAGAATCTACAATGTGTCTTTTGTTCTTACTGCTTTTGGAAACTGCTATTTAGGTCACCAGTTAGTTCTCTGTTGGCAAATTTACTGACTTTTTCTTTCTTACCTCTTTGTTGCATTTAACTCTTAGAATCATTCTCTTTTTTAAAATAGTTAAGAAAAATTCATTAAATGCATAAATGAAAGGAGAGAAAGATAGGGAGGTAATATCAGGGAAAGTGAGAGGAGAAAGGAGCAGAAAAACCCAGATAACTTTTCCTACCATAATGCTGTTTCTCCTCCAGTGCAACCAGCTTCTCTCTTCCTCCAGCCATTCCAAGCCACTAACATTGCCCAAGGCTCTGAATTTCACCCTCTACTTGGTTTTTAAAATTTGTATTTGTAGTTTCTTCTCCAGATCATTACTGGTTTTTGGTTACATTTATCATGTTGTTGTTTCAATGACTCTCAAGTATAAAGTTTGTATTTTCCTTTCATCTGAACTTCAGTTCACATTGCTAGTAGATCTCTTTAAACTCAAAACAAATATATTGTCATTTTACGAAAACTGAGAATGCTGAAAATCATGAAGAGGAAAATTCAAATATAATATCTCTTAACTGTATAAATTGATTTTAGTGTTCTCCACAATGCACTGACAATGTTTGTATTATTTGCTAATATAAAGTAACCATTATTGGTGGTTCTTTTGGAAAACAAAAAGAAAACTGAATTTCTTCAAGGTATATTTTGCCAAGACTTAATATCCAAGTATACCGTTTCTTAGGCTCTATGAATGTATACCTCTATTAACCAAGTCCATTTTTGTTGTTTTTTCTATTAGCTATAAGTACAGCAGCAGTATTGAAATGTTTACTTGTATCTTTGATTTAGCTCTTTTTTGTAGGAAAGAAAATTCAAAAAGTTCTAGTTATCTTTATGTAAACCTCCACTAAATACTTGGATGAGCAATTAACCCAGATAACTTTCCTTACTGCAAGAACAGCAGTGGTTAACTACCAGGCATGATGCCCATATATGCTTTACACATAAACTTACAAGGCAGATATTAAGGAAATAGAATGCAAAGGAGTTAAATACTTACCCAAGATCACACAGATAATAAGTGGAGGTGCCCAGGATATTTTGAAGAAGCAGAAACTGAACTTTTCACTATCTAGAATGACCTATATCATCCAGTTGTCACCAAGAAGTCAGCTCCAATGAGAGTAGGGATTTTCTTCTGTTTACCGCTGTCACTCAAGTGCCTAACACAGTTTGTGGAACATTGTAGATGCTCAAAAAATATTTGTAAAACTAATTCACTTGATTTCTACTCTTATTAAAAAAAACTAAATGTGGGTGTTTCAGTTATCTATTGCTGAGTAACAAATTACCCCCACATGTAGTCACTTAAGCCACAACTATTTATTTGTTTGTGATTCTTCAGTCAGGGCAGGGCTCAGTGGGGATGGTTCATCTCTGCTCTGCAGTGTTAGCAGAGGGGAACATGGCTGAGGTCGGACTATCCGAGAGAGCATCTCATTGTCCAGCACCTCACTCCACATAGCTTTATCATTTGTTAATCTTGCAGGGTGTCTGGATCCCCAAAAGCAAAACCAGAAAGTTCTAGGCTCCTTAACCTAGCACAGTGCCACTTCTGCCAAAGCAAAACAGAAGGCCAGGCCAGCCCAGATGCAAGGGGAAAGATCAGAAGGGTTCCTCCTCTTGATGGGAAGAATGGCATGTATATACCAGAAGGGGAGGTATCATTGGCAGCTATCTTTGGAGACTCCCCACCTTAGGAGACAATTGAAGAGTACTCAACTTCAATTTGCAATTAACTCTTAATAACCTGAGGTCCTTGATGTAGGGAACTTTTTAGTTTTTGTAGTTCAAATCATACCCTGGATTAAAATCAGTGTATCACAAAACACAGTGGATGGCAAAGGCCACATGTAATACCAAGGCTTTCCTACCATCTTTATAAAATGTTGACCATGTATGCTCTCTGTAGACAATTTTTATTTTATTTTTCAGCTACTAAAAAACTATTATAAATGGAGAGCAGAATGTCCAGAAATAAGTGCAGATCTACATCCTAGAAGTATCCTTGGCCTTCTGAAGGCTGGCTACCTTGGAGTCCTGAGAGCCAGAGATCCCACTGGCAGCAAAGTTCTTATTTACAGAATCGGTAAGTCATAAGCATTTCTTTTTCATTTTTCTTGATACCATATCAAAAGCTTTAATGAGTCCAAATTGATGGATTTGGCTTTTTAGGTTTTAACTTAGGTTTAATTTAGATTTTAATGCCCCCCGAATACAAAAAAAAACTGTCAGTCATGAGAAAATTAACAAAAACCATTGAAAATCCTACTTCATTCTTCCACACAATTGTATAAAATAAGAGAAAAAGAAAATAGAGAAGGTAATAGGAGGAAAAGGTGTAAAAAGGAAAGTAAAGTGTTGCAAAAATGCTTAATAGGAAATCCAAATAAGAATTCTGAACTATGTAATGTATGCTCCATGAGAGCATGTGAATTCTGTCTGTTCTGCTCAGTATATATATTCTGAGCACTGAAACCAGGGCCTGCACAAAGTAGGTATTATTAAGTAAGTTTGAGATGAGTGAGGGAATGGCTAGTTGGATGCTGCCCAGGCTTTGGAACAAAGCGGAAGCCCTGCCGTGTGTCAAAGGTACTGTACACAATACACCCCCTTTTCTTTTCACTGCTTCCCCTTTTTGCCATTAGGTCTTGATAGCATTTCTTGTAAATCAGTGACCTATAACTTCTGCCCCTTCCTTAGACCTACATGTGATTAAAAGTGGTGTGTTAACTGAGGACTCACACCGCTCCAAGTATCCTCTCATGAGAAGACAAAGCTAGCTAACATTTCATGAGCAGAATCTTATGAATTATAATCTTACAGAAATTTTGACCTCTGTAAATATTCCAGGCAACTTTAGAATATTTATATAGATTTGCTTTCCTGCTTGCTTGTAGATAGGCTGTCTGCCGGTAACCCAGAGTTTGCTATCTTGCAAGAAAACACTGCATTTAATTCTTGAAAGGGTATCAGAAGACTAAGTATAAGGACTGTTTTTTTTGCTCCAGCTTATGTGTCAAGTACAGCTGGGTTAGTCATGAAGTCATTGTCTATAAAATAGGTATTACAGTGTCTTTCTTTGTCCTTTTCTTGCCATACTTGTTTAATAGCAAGTTGAATAAAGTTTTCCAACTCCCTTGGGGACAGAGTTCTGAGATTTAGCAAAGCATCTATGTTTTATGTAGCAAATAAACCTATATTTTATAAAAATATAGTGTCCAATTGCATTTGAATTTCAGATACATAGCAAATAATTTTTAGTATGCATGGAGCATATTTATACTAAGAAATTGTATCCTGGCTGTCTGCAATTCTACTTTAACTGTGTGTCTTATATTTTTATCTGGCAACCCTGATACTCAGGGATCCCCGAAACATAAAGCTGAAATCTACATGTGATGCTTTCTGCAAGTGCCCTGGCTGGAGGTTTATTTATTTATTTGTTTATTTATTTATTTATTATTGAGTTTGTTCATAAACCAACTGGGGCAAGTTGAGTAAAAATGACATCTTGATAGTTGTAACTCCGAGGGGAGGAAATCCCAGGGCAAAATACCTCTACAGCTGAAATCAGTCAAAGGGAGAAATAAAGTTTAAAACCTGTTTATTGCTTACAAACTGCTGTCTGGGGGCCATCTCTTCCCTGCTCCAGCAGAAGCAAGAGAAACCTCCTACCAAACTCGCAGTTTCAGAAAAGCCCTCTGTCACCCAGGTAACTACCCATTGATACTGAGATGAACTTCTCTCCACCCCTTAGGAACGCCTGTTCATATGGTAATGCACTAATGCCAGATGAGATATTCTGGAATATTACAATTTTAACCACATAGTGAAAAAGCAAATATGCTATGTTGCCCATATATACCTCAACAGTGAGTCAAGAGTCTTATATTATTTAGTGTGGGCTTCTCATAGCATATTAAATCTTAAGTGTCCTATTTAACTCAAAGAGATTTTTCAAATCAAGAAAGCATTTAGTTTGAGTGATGGTCAGAACAGAAGGGTACACAGCAAATCTGAATATTATATAGAATAACATGTTATTCTAGGTTGAAAAGGAGAATATCAGAGGAGTTTTAAGTATAAAAGAAAAGATTAGGATAAAGATTTATAAATTTACCAAATTTAATTGAATTCATAGTAAAGACTTGTGATATAATGATTTATAAGAAATACATACTTGGTCATTCAAAATATATTTCTCAGATATACTTGGTTTTCATCCACAGTTCCTGAAAATACTTCAGAGCCATAAAGGTGAAATGGATGTCTTGTTATGTTAACGAGGAGACTTTTTGTCCCCAGCAAGCATGGGGGCTGGTTATCAGGTCACTAAACTTGTGTTTAGGTCATGGGTAGTTTCAGCTCCCAACCCCTGGGAGGGAGAAGGCAGGGGAGCTTGAAGTTGAATCAGCTAATGGCCAATGACTTAGTCAATTGTGACTATGCAATGAAACCCTCTTAAAAAGAGAAGAGCATTTTGCCCCTTCCTTTGGCATCCTCTTTCTCTGTCCTTTTCCATGGAAGAGCTTCCATGCTTGGGGTACCAGAACTTCAGAATCTGAAATTCCTTAGGACATTGGCCTCAGCTTCCTCTTCTTATGTTACTTTATCTATCTACTGTCACAAAGAACAGCATAGATCTAAGATAATCCCTGTGGTAGGCTGTTACAGAAGTACAAGCAATTCCCAGATTTGTATCTTCACCCCACCATCTCGTCCCCAAGGATCCATACAACCAGCTCCCAGATGTATCTTATTGGATGTGTCACAGTCACCATTATAACATGTCCAAAACTACTTGTGATTTTTCCTCTCAAAACATTTCTTTTCCAGTGTTTCCTATCTCAAGAAATGGTACTACCATTCTGTCCAGTTGTCCAAGCCACAAACTTTGGCATTTTGAAATGATATCATTACTTGGTCACGACTTTTTTTTTCTCTCTCTCTCTCTTTTTCATTTGTTGTGTTAGGCATTCCATGGGCCTTTCAGTCTGAAGACTGGCATCTTCTTTCAGCCTTGGAAAATTTTTCTCTACCATTACTATTCCTCTCTCCACTGTTCCCTATTTTCTATATTGCTGCCTTCCAGAACTCTGATTAATTTGGATGTTGAAATTTCTGGATCTTCCTGCACACCTCTTTTTATTGATAGATATCAACTCTTGGCTCTTATCAGCTGTGTATTTTCTGTCATTTGTCCCATCAACTAAAATTTGCTTGAATTGTCATCTTCTAGTCCAAGATCTCAACTGATTCATTTTATTCCTTAGGTTTGGGTGCCTTTGTCTACTGAGTTTGGTTCCTCTCTTCATTGTGTGTTTTTGAAGATACTGTAGTTCTTAGTGTATGCATATCTGTTTCTCAAGATGACCTGCTTGCCTGTGTATTACTGTCATTTCTGCAAATCACACCTTACCCCAGGGATGTTTCTACTCCTTATTTCTACTGGGTATGGGCAGCACTTGAGTGCTACCTATGCTGCTTTCCAAAAGCTGACACTTAACCCTTCTAGCCTGTACAGACATGACTGCTAGGTGCTGCTTGTCGTTGAGGGGTGTCAGGGACATCAACCTGCCTGTCTGCACCTCACACATTTGCCTTAGCAACCTCTTTGATTACTGTAGGGCCCTCATTACTTTCCATAATCCAGGTCCTTGCTTTTCTCATTTTCAACACCTCTGAGTTGGCTGCATTGAGTTTGAGACATTCCCATCGTGAGCCACAGCCTGCTCCTGCATGTTTTGGCCTATAGATCCATTTGGCAATCAAATCCAGCCTGCGTTCGTTCTTTTTTCCCCTCCAATCTGCTATTTGCAAGGAATCTGAGGAGGGAGAGAGAAGTAGTCACATGTTCTTGGAGTGTCAATGTTGGCCACACTATTCAGTTTATAATCTTGGTACATATTTTATTTCCACTGATCCTTTAAGTCTAAAAAGAATTAGTTCCATTTTTAAGTCTTTCTGATTCTTTACACAATGCTGAGATATGCTATTTTTTATTTTTTTAGCATGCTGGGACCCAAAAGTTTTTACAGCTTATGATGTATTTCGTGTAAGTCTAATCACATCCGAGCTTATTGTACAGGAGGTAGAAACACAACGGAATGGTGTCAAGGCTATCTTTGATCTAGAAGGCTGGCAGTTTTCTCATGCTTTTCAAATTACCCCATCTGTAGCCAAGAAGATTGCTGCTGTTCTTACAGTAAGTGTATATTTTAACTCTTTTGAGATAATAATTCCAAGTAATAAATTTGAATTTAGTTACATGTTAGACAAAGAGAAGGCATAGTACATTCATTAGAAAATTAAATTTTAGAAATAATAATAGAATTCAGTAATGCTAAGAGGAAGTAAAGTGTTACTAATTTGTAAAAGAATGTTGCAACAAACTGAAAAGGTAACCAGAATTTATATATTTAAGAAATAATGTAGTCACTTTATTTTTCTGTTGTTAAAACTTTATTAAATTAAGAAATTGACTCAAAAAACATTCATAGTGATAGTACAATAAAATGTTACATAAGTCTTGGTAGGTATAAATTGATGTAGTTCTTCCAGAGATCAAAAAATTTTTTAATGTCCATCATGTTTGACCAAGTAATTTTACTTTTAGGAATCTAGCCAAGGAATCATCTTAAATGTAGTAAAGACTTTGTATATAATAATAATAGCTTACTATGTGCCAGGTACTTTGTTAAGAGTTTCAAGTATGTTCTGTTTATAGCCACACAAGCTTATGACATATGACTATTATTTTTCCCATTTTACAGATCAATTTACTGTGTCAGAGAGGTGACATAGCAATGCTCAAGCACATATATTTTGCAGCAGTGAAGCAAGGATACCAATCCAGGTCATCTGCATGTAAAAGTTGTGCTTATTGCCACCATTGCCTTATATATATAGTTACTATTGCACCAGTTTTTCTTTGGAAGAAAATTACAAGCAGCTTATTTGTCCAGAAATAGGAAAATGGTTACTTAAATGGTGGTATAGCCATTTGACGTATTATTGCAACAATATTAAAACTCACAATGTTTACACAAATTGTATTATATCAGTGAAACAAAACTGGGTGTACATTATTTAGAGAGCATATTAGTAATTATTTTTAGCTAAAATTACACATAAAAAGAATCTGGAAGGAAAGCCCCAACTTGATAACACATGCCTGAAAGCTATGCATAGGTTAAAAAAATAATAATAATTTTGCATGAACGAAGCTTGGAAGGAAAAGTCTATACATTAACAACACACTTTGGGTAGGGAAAGAATGGATGTGGTTTTTCTTTCAATTGTTAACTTTTAAACTTAAAAAAGCCTATATTTCTTTGATGTGAAAGATTTATATCTCTTGCAAAAGTTTAAAAGTGTGTGTTTATTTTGCTATACTTTCAACTTTTATGAAAGTTGGATTTTTTTCTCAAAATAAAAATTTGGGGGAAAAGTTAAATATAAATATCCAAATGACTCATTGGTTCTTTTAAAGAACATGTATATATGTGACTGGGGAAATATATTCTATGTCTTACTTATGAAAGATGTAGTATTTCTTAAAATACTTTGCCTAAGCTACAAGGTGAAACCTTTTTAGAGATCTTTTCTTAATCTAATGACAGTGAACTATGAAGCTGGCTATTGTTGTGTTGGTGTGATAAATAAATAAATTTGAAAGTAAAATTACACTTAAGTTTAACATGTGTTTGAAAATGGAACTTATCAATAAGAATTTATATTGATTTATGCTTTGTTATTAATAAGGTGTTTTCTTTATTTTTAAAAGGACTCATTTCCATTAAAAGTTCGTGGTATCCATTTGATAAATGAGCCAATAATTTTCGATGCTGTCTTTTCCATGATTAAACCATTTCTGACTGAAAAAATTAAGGGACGGGTGAGTAAAACATCATCAAGTCACTATTCCTCTGTACTAAATGTTCCAATCCTTTTCTGTTTAAGGATTGCTTTATTATCTGCCTCTGCACACACATACCATTAACCCAGTATTTTGAATATCTATCTAATAAGTCAACTACTTTTATGAATCAAAAATTCTTTTTAATTTAGAAAATGAGGTTAGTAAGGCTGTGGGGAAACGGCCTCGGATATTGACTCTGGGAGTGTAGCATGGTGTATTTCCTATAGAGGGCAGTGTGGTGATAGTTATCAGAATTACAGCGACTTTGCACTTGCGGGATTTTAAATCTACAAATATACCTGCATATAAACAAAATTACACCTACGAGGGGATTCATTGCAGCAAAGGATGTGAAACCACCAAGTATAAATCATCAGGGAACTGGTTAAATGAACTATGATACATTTACACAGTGGGATACGGTAATATTTGCAGGGTGCTTTGTGAAGTGAAATAAGAAAATGCAAAGCAGTGTTTATGGTATGATACCTTTTGTATAGAAAAAGGAAAGAAATCAGAATATTTATATCTTCATATTTATATTTCCACAAATATCATGTTAAAAGGATTTACAAGCATACAAGTTAAGTGGTTTTTCCTAATGGATCAGAGTAGAGATGTGGATGGGGTGGATGAAGATAGGGTGGGGAACAAGACATCTCACTGGAACCTTTTATCTTATTTTCATTTCTAGCCATGCGAATGTAGAATTTATGAATTTTAAAAGTAAATCTATTTAAGTTACACATGTAACTGAAAACCACAGTATATAACTTAATGTCATGTTAGTTAAGAGATTTGGTGCGTTTACCTATTCCTGTGGAGCTGTATCTCAAGTGAATATCTAATATCTTTTAGGATTTTTAAGGTATTGAAAATAGAATCTGAGTTACCAAGAATCAAGAATGACAACCACTCTTCTACATTAATCTATAAAGGATAATTTTTAGAGCATTTATTTAGGCAAACATTGGTGACATCTAATTTGACAGTTTTTAAAGTCTGACAATTTAAATCTCAAAAAGTATTTAAATACAAATAGTGATAATGTGAGTTATAATGGCCTATTTGGAATATCTAAAAATATATTCTTTCATATTAAGAAAATGTAACATTTTGCGTCTAGTCATAAAATCATGACCCTAGAGCTTCTTTTGAGGTTACCCAAGAAGTAATTCTGTCTGTCTTCAAGAAGAAGTATCTCTACGAAGATGGCCACTTTTCATTCTAGTGTTTTTATAGAAGTAAATTTTTTTTCATATTTTTTCTCTCTTCAGTGTAGCTTGATAATGGCTGACCACCTTCTATTTAACTCTGAAAGATCTAAAAATAAATATTTCTATTTTGGGTTATATTCTGGATAAATAACAAAAACAACAATAAACTGAACCTAATAAATAAGAGAATAGGAGCAAAAAAGAAAGAAAAATAAAAAATTGAGAAGGTAGGTAAAGCATTTCAGTGAAAGTTACTTGCCATGAAATGAACTTCTCAAAATGGGTATGGGGACTCAGTCTGTCCACTTTTCTCCTTTTCAACATTTTGACTGTACCTTGCGAATGTTCTTATTTCCCCCTTCCTAACGTGATAGTAGGATTTCTTTTCAATTAGCTGGCAATATTTAATTTAAATTAACTTATTTTGTGCCTCTTTATCCTCTGGTAATATTCTAAGTTTTCAGAAAAAAACAAGTATTGGGACAGTGAAGCTTCCTGAGTGTAGGAAACTTGTCTCATTCATCTTTCAATCCTTGTCCCTTAACACATAGTAGGTGCTCATTAAATGATTGTTGGCTATATAGATGAACACTTTGCGCTAGCAGATGGAGAAAGATCATTTATTCATTTATTTTTAACAAGATGTACTTTGAGCTGAAGGTTCCAAATCATTATTTTAACTTCAGAGCATTATATGATCATTTTTAAAGTTAAAAGTATTTGAAAGTTTAAGCTTCTCCACCATCATAATCTCTTAAGTTTGTACTAGCCAAGAGTATCCATTAACTGTACTACACAAATTATTCCCATGTACCTTCTTGTGTGCTCAGATATATGCTTTTATTTAATATGAACTAACACTAGGTAGTATATTTTTATCATCTACACAACAGTCTTGGCATATTAGATATTTTGCTAAGAATCACCTATACATTAGAGAATAGAATGAACAAAATAATTTTAGAGTTTTAAAAATCTACTTTTGAAAGAGGAAAATAATGTATTTTATTTTATAAATCTTGTATAGTTATAAGAATACAAAAGTAAGAAAACAGTAAGATAATCAGATTAATGAGAAGCACAATCTAAATACAGGTAGATTCTTAGATTTACAAGCAGAGGAATAAAAGTTGTAGCACCTATACATGTTCTTCTATGTTGGGAGTTACTTAAGTACTTTGTTTTATGGCATTGATTTTTCTACTGGAAATGCACTTAATAAACTGAGAGGTAGAGGGCATACCTTCTAAAATGTTTTGGCTATTTCAGATTCATATGCATGGGGACAATTACAAACAAAGCTTACTTCAGCATTTCCCAGACATTCTTCCTCTGGAATATGGTGGTGAAGAATTCTCCATGGAGGACATATGTCAGGAGTGGACAAATTTTATAATGAAATCTGAAAATTATCTCAGCAGCATTTCACAGACCATTCAGTGAGAAGTTATTTAATGCAAATGGCTTCCTAATTAAAAATACATGCAGGAGATCCTACTTGGTTACATCAATGAAAGAAAAAATCTTAAACCAATTAATGCTTGTCGATTTTTAAAAATGTAAATATCCTCTGACTTGAGTGACATGAGTATTTAGGAACTGCTTTACTTTGTAAATGCATTTTCTTTACTTAGAAGCAATTAAATTTTAGTATACCTTAAAAGCATAGAAGAAATTCCTGATTTTTGCACTTGAAAGAAGTTATCTTTAAAGTAGCTGTTCAGGTGCACCCTTGTACATCACTGGAAAGTTTTCATTTTAACCAGGCTCTCTTATTACATTGATTTAGAAATGTATAAGTAACCCATTGAAAAGAAATATTAGCACAAGTTAATGATAAAAATCTATTAACACTCATTTGGGTGGGTGTCAGAATAAATTATAATTCAGCTTAGAATCTGAATACAGATTTACAGAGTTATTTCCACAGAAAGATAATTCATCTCAGGGAAATTCTGTTTTAGGATATTCGCACAATAGAAACTTTTAAAGATCTATAGACCATAAACTATTACATGTAGCATTGATAGGCCTCTTTGAAATTATACTTGATAACCAAAAATAACTTAGAAAATATTTCAGGTGGAGCTTCTTAATACTGTTTCTGCATTTTCAAAGAAATCCAGAATGTCATTTTGACTTCATTGTTTGTTTTTTTGTGTCATGACCACATAGAGATTTAGAGATGGAATAATATTTACTTGTCATATACATGTACTCTGTTTTTAACTGAAGAACCCAACAACACAAGGGAAAGGAAATGTTTACATTTTTAAAATCACTGTCAATTACACATGGAAGTTTTTATGAAATAATTTGAGTTGTACTATTACATCAGAGTATCCCAGCCAAATCCTACAATTCATTTTTAACAAAACACGTAGTTAAAATGGGCTGTTTACTGTAGCTCCTATCAAAGAACATTTCATTTATTAAGAAAAATATGTCACTACAGCTTTCAATTTATGACAATTTTTATAGTTTTTAAATTTTATTTTTAAACTTGAACATAAGAGAACAGCGCAAAGTTTGTTAGACATTTGGTTAGCTTCTTTGAGTTTCAAAAATAATCATGTAAGAGTATTTTGTGAAAGGATAATGTGGAGAGTGGTTTTCATTACAGAGAAATTATTCTAATCAGGTGATCTGATAATTCCGATTCTCTGTACATGTATCTTTGAAAACATTGAGAGCGATTGTGACTTTAGGGAACATACTTGATTTTGATTTAGCATTATGAAGCTAACTTTACATTTTAATTCTTACTAAAAAATTAGATTGTGCCTGGTTTCTAAAGAACGTTGAACTATTCTTTACAAAGTCATATAATTTTAAATTGTGTAATTAAAAATGACAGCAGGATAAAACCATTGGAAAATAATGAAGAATAACAACAAAAAGCTGTGGTTTACCCAACTTTCATTCCTACAAGAAGGCTTACATCACAAGGTTCCACTTTATTTACATTTGACTGCTTAAAGCACTTTCTTAGGACACTTTGAAGGAATGTGCCCTTTAACACAAGGATAAAGGATGATTTTTTAAATGTATTTTTGTGATATTATTAACAGAAAATAGAATGATAATAAATCAGTCAGTAGAAATTCATTCTGCGACTTTGAAATTTTTATAAAATGCAACAATTCAGAGAAGAACATTAAAAGAACAATGTGAAGTGAGTAGCCAATTTGATAACAAGGCAAGATAAGTAACTATCAAATTATCTATATTACCTTACTGTAATTGAAGAAGTGCCTTTCAAAAGATTAACGTGTGCTTATTGTGTTACTGAATTGCATGATAATTTGTTTTAATTATTGTTAAAAGAAAATAAAGATCTTTCACATGAGCTATAGCTGTTTCTTTTTCATTGTAAAATACAAATATTAGAAATTATTTTTCAAAAACTTCTTTTCCTTACAGAAAAGTTTAAGGAAAACATACCAGATCGAGTTGTCCATTACCCAAACGCCAGTTTTATCTTCATAAGTTGTAAATGCTGGCTAGTTTCCCTGCTGCTTAGCTCATCACCATCTTCCCCTAATGTCGTTTGCTGCACTTAAAGGGACTGCAGACTAATTTCACAAAATAAAATCATGAATATTCAAAAAGTTAAAACTTCTAAGTGAAAAAAGCCAGAGTGTGCTACTTAATCAGATTATTTGATGTTGAAACAATCTGCTATTTTCCTAGGTCATGATTTTATTTTTCAAACTGTATTATTTTTCTTACAGAGATAACACTGACATCCTAGAGCAAATGTTATCTTTGCCACTGTCTTGCCTGCGGGTTTCAGCCCCACGCAAGTTTACTATAGATTCAGTGAGACTGAGAAATGACAATAGAACATTCTTGGGGTAAAAGGGTTTATACCCAGCTTTATTACCCCAATAATAGGTTGAGCACTAGAATCACATCTGCATCCAGCAGTCCGCAGGTCTGAAATCCTCCTCCATCTCTCCCTCCACCCAGAGCACTGGGCAGAGCTCTATATACAGTGACTCAGTCAATCATAGCTTATAGCCTAAGGGTGTGGAAGCAGTAGCCTAGCAGTAGGCCAATTATATCATCAAATAGTTTAGGGTCAGGTGAGGATCCTGGCCATAGGAACTTCCATTTTTCCCACAGCCACTGACCTCAAAGAAAAACTCACAAGGCAAACATACTGTCAACTAAGAAATGATGCAAACAAAGATCCTGATCAGGTTAAACAAAGTTTTATTCAAGTTTTGGTAGGCTTGCAGTCCAGAATACGCAGATTCATGATGCACTTAAATTATGTTCCAGCAGACTACACAATGGAGAAGATTTATGAGGCAAAAATCTCAAGATTAAGGAAAATCATATAAGTTGTAAAGGTGAAGGTGCTTAGTATGTAAGGATTGATGGGGGAAATGTTAGAACTATAAGCTTACAGTTTGCAGCTGGTATTTTGAAAAACTAAAAGGTCACAGCAGAATTCTATCATGTGGGTTCCTCAAGACAGGTTTAACCCAGTTTGAAGTTCAAGTGAGGATGTGTTGGCCCTGCCTCAGCAACATCTGTCTGGCTCAGTGTGTCTGACAAGAGTGACTCCATCTTGACTAAAACAGATCAAAAATATGTCCACAATACAAATCAAATACTCAGCAAACTAGTAAGATGGTGTTTGAAACACTCCCTATTGGCCTTATATGTTGAACTTTCATACTTAGGAGCTGTGAAGGAACTGTGAGTTACAAAGACAGAGCCAGAATTGATGGCAATAAAATTAGGGCAGTATTTCCCCAAGAATTCTCTGGTTAGCAAGGACACACACCATCCTCCTCCTGCCCCCATACCTAGCATTCAAGTGACTGCTTTCCTCCTCTCTTCAAGTCATTGTATTAATCTATTAAATATCTATTTGGTTATTAACACTGTACATAGAATTAAATACTACAGTGCATAGAAAAATTAACTGCATGTTACTTGGAAGAGAAAAAATATATATCCCAAACAACCAGGTAAAGTGGAGTACAGGATAAGGGTTATTAGAACGGTTCCACTAAAGTGCTTTAGGAGTTTAAAAGAAGACATGATAACTTCCTTCTTACCTGGGAAATGGAGGTTGTGTTCTTAGAGGAGGTCCTGTACGAGGCAGATGCTTTAAGGAGAACTGACCCTAGAGAGCACTGAGAACTGAGAAGGAGGATATTCCAAGAAATGAAATAGCACAAGCAAAGACTTAGAGATGAGAAAGAATAGATCATGTCTGAGAAATAATAAACAGCCCTGTATTTCTGAGGGAGGGAATGAGTAGAGAAGAATGGGGCTTTTTCCTAGGAAGATGTATATGAAACAAAATATAGGAGGCCTTGAATGCCAGCTGAAGGGCATTCAAATATATGGGTTACTTCTTTGGTGACTTACACTATTTCAGATTGACATTCGTTGTGTTATATCTTTGCCAACAAAAAAGGAAGTAAGTGCCATTGTGCCCATTTTTACAGAAGAGAACTAAGCTCAAAAAGTGTCCATTCTGGTCTAACAGTTACCAAAGGGAAAGGAACTGGGGAGAATGGAGGGAAGGGAGGGGTAAGGGTGGGGAAAAAGAAAGGGGGCATTACGATTAGCATGTATAATGTGGGGGAGGAGCTTGGGGAGGGTTGTGCAACACAGAGAAGACAAGTAGTGATTCTACAGCATCTTACTATGCTGATGGACAGTGACTGTAATGGGGTTTGTGCAGGGGATTTGGTGAAGGGGCGGACCCTAGTAAACATAATGTTCTTCATGTAATTGTAGATTAATGATAACAAACAACAAAAAAAGTGTCCATTCCTTGTTTAAAACCACAGAGCCAGTAAATGCCAGAATCAGACTGAACTTGGCTGGCCTTGGGGTAAAGTCCACACCCTCCACAACACCACCATGCTCTCAATAGACCCTATTTCCAGGCCACAGTGATTGATGGCCACCAGATTCTATCAGTCCTACCTTGAAATGTCTGACCTATTTCTAAGGCTCGTCATTTCTCGAAAGACCTGCTGTAATAACCTCCAAGTTGGACTACCTGTTCCTCATTATTCCCGCCCTTACATCCCCCTTCCAGTGCTGCCAGGGTTATTTTTCTGCAAGAGTTTATTCCCTGAACTCTGAGAGAGCAGTACTACATGCAGGGTAACTTGCTAATTGGCACCCAAGGCCCTTGATGACCAGGCCCAACCTGTTTTTCTATCCTCACTTTGCAGGACTCCTAACCCCACCCATATTCTAGGCACACAACCTTTTCACCACTTTGAAAAATACCATCCCTATCACACAAGACATCTCAGAATCAGAAGCAGCCAGGGGTGTATATGTATGTGTGTTTGGTGGTGGGGGAGTGAGGGGAAAAGAAGGCAAAATATTTTGTACTCAGAAGCTTTGCTCTTACTGTTCCTCTGCACCATACCCTTTCCTGCAGTCTGTGTCTGCTCATCTACAATGTCCTGCTCCCTTGTCATCTCTGAGAAGCCTTCTTCAAGCCTCACAAGAATTCTTTGCTTCTGCTTGTGTGATCCTCTCTGTGGCTATCTAATATCACCTTTAGGACATTGAATTTATAGCTCTTTACCTGCCTGTCTCCCTGCTAGAAAGTGCTCTGAAATGCAGATACTGTCTTTTGCATCTTTATATAATCCGTGTCTAACCAGCTTTTAGCACAGCGTCAATACAAACAGAATAAAGACCTGTCCACTTTTAAATTAAAATGTTGATAGACAATATTATGTTAGTTTCAGGTATACAACACAGTGACTCCACAATTATATACATTAGGAAAATGCACTCCATGATAAGTGTAGTTACCATCTGTCACCACATAAAGTTATTACAATATTATTGACTATATCCCTATAACATATCCCCGTGACTCATGTATGTTATAATTGGAATTTTATAGCTCTTAATTTCCTTCACCCATTTTGCCCATCTCCCCACCCCCACCCTCTGGTAATCACCAGTTTATTCTCTATATTTATGAGTCTATTTCTGTCTGTCTGTTCATTGGTTTTATTTTTTAGATTCCATATATAGGTGAAATTATATGGTATTTATCTTTTTCTGTCTGACTTACTTCAGTTAACATAATACCCTGGAGGTCCATCCATGTTGTCTCAAATGGAAAGATTTCATTTTTATGGCTGGGTACTATTCCATTGTGTATGTGTGTGTGGACACACAATATACTGGGAAGTTGGGCTGACCTCAGCAGCCTATGTACAATCCCTCAGACTTCTCCTCCTGTCTACTTTTTCTCTCTCTTTCATCCTGAAGTTTTACAACGGTAAGATCCTATCCTATTGGGTTTTATTTGTCTTAAACTTCAACCTATTTCTCTATCTTAAGTATCTTAGCTAATGGCTTCCACTTTTTAGCTGATTTTAAATTTCACTTATTTTAATTACATCTAAATATACATACATGCATGCATGCTGGTCCCTAAGGAGCTGTACAGGAGACTCAGTAGCTATTGTTGAATAAATAAACCCTGATGCAACTTAGCTCTCAGGAGGGGCTCCCTCTCCAGTCAACAAGAGCTCTTTGGGCAGGTTTCCCACAGAAGAGCTTGACCATGCAGCTCACTCCTCTCCACAAGAGAATCCACATACCAAACTTTACTAGCCCTTATCTTCCAACAGTTCCTCCATATATTTACTTTCCCTCAGTTTGCCACTCCTAGAATCTCAAAGTCCTTTTCCTTTGTTTTGTGACTTCTTCAAAAAACCTATGATTTCTTTGCTAAGATGCTATGTAAGCCCAAGTTCTAACCAGACCTTTCAGTTACTCTTCACTGAGGTTCCTCCCATGTGATGTGCACTGCATGCATTAATAAGCTGGCTTTCCCTTGTTAATGTCTTTTGTCAGTCTAATTTTACAAGACCCAAGTTATAGAACCAGCAGAGTATAAGGAAAAATAATTTGTCCTTCCCTATAATGATATGAGGAGGACTGTTTTCCCAAGAACAAGTGTATGACACCATGAGGTGACAGCTGCCAACGGAAACGCCTGTGAGAGCTCTATTCCCTCCCCTCCCTGTTTCCCTTTGGATCCTTCTGTTAGCCTCCTTTTCTTGTTCTATTATTGGTATCAAAACTTCTTGAATCATATCCTTCCTTTTCTTTTTTGCCCTTCCTACCATTTCCTTCTTCCCTATTCTTTTTACCTACATTTAGAACCCCAAAAACTTTTGAATGGCTTTTGCTAAACTTATCTATCAATTTCAAATTGTAGCTTTTCTTCATCCTTTCCTTTCAGCACAACCATTTTTCTTCAAATTCTCTTCCCACCCTCACAACCTCTATAGCTTAGTTTAGCTGTTTTCCCCAGGCAATGTTAGGAAATTC